CTCCTTTGCATGTTAGGCCACACCCCCTAATGTAGCCAATCCTAATGAGTTTCCGCTGTTGGGTGTGGCCTATTATGCTAATGAGTTCCTGCTGGGCGTGGCCAACTCGGGAGCCAGCCGGAACTCCGTTCCTGTGTGTTCCTGCCCAAAAATAGCCCTGTCCCTGGGGATCTGGCAGGATTCACCTAGAATCATCGAATCATAGAGTTGGAAGGGACCTCCAGGGTCATCTAGTCCTACCCCGTGCACAGTGCAGGGCATTCACAAATACCCCCACCCCCACCACCAGTGACCGCTGTTTCACGGCCAGAAAATGACGAAAAATCCCCAGCCTGCTCCCTGACTCCAAAGTGGCAATCGGCTTTTCCCTGGGCGTGTATGAAAGGGCCATGAGAACTAAGCACTGAGGCAACCCTCCCTGCCCTCCCTCTCGCGATCTGCCTTAAATTCACAGAATCAGCAATACTGTCATCCAGCCTCTGCTTGAAAACCTCCAAAGGAGGAGAGCCCACCACCAATGTTCCCTCTAAGCTGTAGAGTCTTGTGAGCAAAAATTCTATTTTGTGAGCTACTGGCATTAAAGCTGTGAGTGAGTGATTTGGCTACTGCATAACTTAGTTTGCTCTGGAGCCACCTCCTTCCTGAGCGAAGACAAAAATGTGTGAGCCGGAGGCTAAAAAACTATGAGCTGGCTCGCACTCACTCAGCTTAGCGGGAACACTGCTCTCCAAGGAGATGGTCTCCATAACCGCTCTGTCAGGAGGTTCTTCCTCAAAACTCTTCTGATTTAATTTCAACCCGTTGGTTCTGGTCCGACCTTCTCGGGCAACGGAAAACGACTCCACCCCGTCCTCTAGGCACCTCCCCCTTGGGAAAAGCTCAGCTAACAGAAAGCGGTGTTGCCCCTTTGGACTCTTGGAAGGACCCAGGGAAAGGAAAGTGCTCAAGGGAGCAAAACTTCTCTAGGCCTGGGGGGGGGGGTCCCCGACCTGCTCAAGCCTGTGGGCACCTCTGGAATTTTCTGACGTACATTGGTGGGTGCAACCTCAACATGGCCGCCATGGAAGACGGAGCCAGTCACAAAACGTCAGGGAGTGCGGTTATACATAACGCTAACAGTAAGGCCCCGGCCTCTCTGCCCTGTTGTTGGCCCTCCGGAGGAACTGGTTGGCCACTGGGTGAGACAGGAGGCTGGACTAGATGGCCCCTCCCTGGTCTGACCCAGCAGGGCTCTTCTGAGGTTCCTTTCAGGGGAAGGCCTCGGCCTCTCTGCTCTGTTGTTGGCCCTCCGGAGGAACTGGTTGGCCACTGGGTGAGACAGGAGGCTGGACTAGATGGCCCCTCCCTGGTCTGACCCAGCAGGGCTCTTCTGAGGTTCCTTTCAGGGGAAGGCCTCGGCCTCTCTGCTCTGTTGTTGGCCCTCCGGAGGAACTGGTTGGCCACTGGGTGAGACAGGAGGCTGGACTAGATGGCCCCTCCCTGGTCTGACCCAGCAGGGCTCTTCTGAGGTTCCTTTCAGGGGAAGGCCTCGGCCTCTCTGCTCTGTTGTTGGCCCTCCGGAGGAACTGGTTGGCCACTGGGTGAGACAGGAGGCTGGACTAGATGGCCCCTCCCTGGTCTGACCCAGCAGGGCTCTTCTGAGGTTCCTTTCAGGGGAAGGCCTCGGCCTCTCTGCTCTGTTGTTGGCCCTCCGGAGGAACTGGTTGGCCACTGGGTGAGACAGGAGGCTGGACTAGATGGCCCCTCCCTGGTCTGACCCAGCAGGGCTCTTCTGAGGTTCCTTTCAGGGGAAGGCCTCGGCCTCTCTGCTCTGTTGTTGGCCCTCCGGAGGAACTGGTTGGCCACTGGGTGAGACAGGAGGCTGGACTAGATGGCCCCTCCCTGGTCTGACCCAGCAGGGCTCTGCTTATATTCCTATGAATCTAATTACCAAACTAGTATCGTCTACTCTGGCTGGCAGCGGTTCTCTCTCGCCACCTTCCACCTGGTCTTTTTCCAACGAGAGATGCTGGGAGTCGACTGGACCCGAGACTTTCTATATTCCAAGCAGAGGCGTTACCACTCAGCCACCCCCTCCCCGTTTGTGTGGCGTCCCTACCGGCTAGAACGCGACCCCGTGGATTAACAGTTTCATCCACCCTGAGAGAGAAAGGCGAGGAGAAAAACTGGGCCATCTAAGACATTCAATGACACTCCTCAACACCACCAGGGCAAAACAAGACTTCTTTTAAAAAACAACCCCAGTATTTTAGCCTGAAATTGCGTGAGCGGTTCTGACATTTTCCTGACAGCTTTCTTCTGGACGTTCCTCTGGAGTGGCGGGTACGGGAAGTTGGGCTGAGGGTCTGAAGAAGCCGACATCAAGGTGGAGTCCTGCAGGAAGCCGGGGGACATGTCGTTGGAAGAAAGGGGTACCGACCGGGGCTGACCCCTGGAGGCCCGAATGGTCACCTGCAGTGGAGCACAAAGGGGAGAGATGTAACAAGCTGGCAAAGCCTCTTCCCGGAGGAGGGAAAGGAACCCTGCAAAAAACACAGCACCTTAGATTTTGGCTAAAGCTGCCTGCATTCTACAGTGGGGGTGTCAAACGTGTGGCCTGGGGGCCGGATTAGGCCCCCAGAGGACCTCTTATCAGGCCCGCAGTGGAACTGCCTGTCTTGGGCTGCTTCTTCCAGTTCTTCTGCTGCTGCTGCATCATCGTAGGTTTGCAGCTTACAGATACACACCTGGACAGCATGCTCAAGATTGCAATGGCACAGGCATTTTGATGCAATAATTCAGAGCAAGAGGTGTCAGTGATCAGAGACTGTTAAATGAACAAAACATTGCAAGAGTGCTGATGTTTTAATTTTAAGTAAATTTTTTATGTAAAAAAAAACCACCTTTGTGTTTGTGTCCTTTATAAAGTTTGTATCTCCGCTACCTGGCGTTACATTTTATGACACGCATGGCTTGGCCTGACAAGGTCTCATTTATGTCATATCCAGCTCTCATAACAGATGAGTTCGACACCCCCTGCTCTAGAAGGCAAGCTCTGCAGTGGCACTGCCAAACCACCATAGGCCCCCCCCCCCCACGCCAGCTGCTTGTACCTTGGTGCCCGGCTTCAGACCCTCCAGTTGCTTGGGCTTGCGGAACGTTTTATGGTGCTGTAGCTTGTGCTCGATTTTGTCCTTGGCAAAGAGAAACTGAAGGCGGCACTTGTTGCAGTTTTTTTTGCTCTTCTTCCGCAAAAGGGGAGGGGGGGGGGGAGAAGGAAGATGCCCCCACGGGGAGCGTGAATAAAGAGCCCGGCAGGAAGGCAAAACGGTGGCATGCCAAATCTCGTTTTCCCCCCTGGTAGGCAGAGAGGCAGGACCACACTCAGGTTTTTGTGCATCTCACAGGCGGAGAGCACATAAACAAACATGAACTGGACCATCGGTCCTCTAGATCCCTCTCCCCCTTCCAAAACCCTGGCTTGCGGCATGATGCAGCAGCAGAAATGGGGGGGAAAGAGGAAGGAAGGGCAAAAGCAGCTAGTGGAATGGTAAGATGGATCGGGCGCAATTGGGGGAGTAAGAACGTAAGAACATAAGAGAAGCCAATGTTGGATCAGGCCAGTGGCCCATGCAGTCCAGCACTCTGTGTCATACAGTGGCCAAAAATATGCCCTGTTGCTGGCCCTCCAGAGGAACTGGTTGGCCCCTTTGTGAGGCAGGATGCTGGACTAGAGGGACCCTCACTGGTCTGATCCAGCAGGGCTCTTCTGATGTTCTTATCAGGGGAAAGGCCTCGGCCTCTCTGCCCTGTTGCTGGCCCTCCAGAGGAACTGGCTGGCCCCTGTGTGAGACGGGAGGCTGGACTGGATGGACCCTCACTGGTCTGACCCAGCAGGGCTCTTCTGAGGTTCTTCTCAGGGGAAGGCCTTGGCCTCTCTGCCCTGTTGTTGGCCCTCTAGAGGAACTGGCTGGCCCCTGTGTGAGACAGGATGCGGGACTGGATGGACCCTCACTGGTCTGACCCAGCAGGGCTCTTCCAATGGTCTTCTCAGGTGCAGGCCTCGGCCTCCCTGCCCTGTCGCTGGGCCTCCAGAGGAACTGATTGAGGCCACTGTGTGAGACAGGAGGCTGGACTGGATGGACCCTCCCTGGTCTGACCCAGCAGGGCTCTTCTGATGTTCTTCTCAGGGGAAGGCCTCGGCCTCTCTGCCCTGTTGTTGGCCCTCCAGAAGAACTGGTTGACCACTGTGTGAGACGGGATGCCGGACTGGATGGACCCTCACTGGTCTGACCCAGCAGGGCTCTCCTGAGGTTCTTCTCAGGTGCAGGCCTCGGCCTCTCTGCCCTGTTGTTGGCCCTCCAGAGGAACTGGCTGGCCACTGTTTGAGACAGGATGCTGGACTAGATGGACCCTCACTGGTCTGACCCAGCAGGGCACTTCCGATATTCTTATTCCATCTCCTTCAAGATGTACAAAATCAAATTCTCCCTTCTACGTGGCTAAGAAACAGCAAACCTTAAACTCAGCATCCTGATCTCTGGCGGCCCAAGTCTTGCGCGGGCTGAGCAGCGTGTACCCAGAGAGACGCCCACCGCTTGGTCGGGCAGTGCCCGGGCAGCGCTGCTTTACCTGGTGCCTCATGAAGTGCTGCTGGAAAGCGTTGCCGTTCTTGAAGACCTTGAGGCAGTACGGGCAGAGGAGATGCCGCGTGTCCTCGTGCACCATCCGGAAATGGCTGTCCACCTCTGAGTAGAGCGAGGAGCGGTACTGGCAGACCTGGGGGTGGGGGAGACGACAGCAGAGGGGTGTTGAAGGCCAGAGCCGGTGGGCGAGAAGGAAGCAGGGTGGCCTGGTAAAAAACCCTCAAGAGTTTAATCAGGGTCGCTCTCTCCCCACCCCCCTCACTGCTGTTCTGTGACGGGAAACTGAGACAGCGCGGTGCAGCGGTTACAGTCTCGGAGTAAGATCTGGGAGTCCTGGGTTATTCCTCTGCCTAAGAAGCTCGCTGGGTAAATAGTAATAATAATGATGATCAGGAGGAGGAAGAGGAGGAGGAGGAGGAGGAGGAGAAGGATAGGAGGAGGAGGAGGGGGAAGGAGGGGGGGAGTGGGTGGGGCTGAGAGAACTCTGACACAAACTGCTCTTTTTCAAGAACAGCTGTGCCAGAGCTTGTGACTGACCCAAGGTCACATCAGCAGGTGCAAGTGGAGGAGTGGGGAATCAAACCCGGTTCTCCCAGATTAGAGTCCACACACTTAACCACTACACCAAACTGGCTCTCATATTGTATGGCATTTTGTGTAGAATAGCCAGGAGATCCTAAAATTGTCTGGCAGCTGGGAGTTTTGACTCTTTCAGTGTTATGCACCACTAGGTGGCGAGCTAACTTGTTTTTCATAGAATAGAATCCTAGAATTGCAGAGTCGGAAGGGGCCCTACAGGCCATCTGGTCCGACCCCTTGCTCAATGCAGGGTCAGCCTAGAGCATCCCTGACAAGGGTTTGTCCAGCCGCTGCTTGAAGACTGCCAGTCAGGGGGAGCTCACCACCTCCCGAGGCAGATGATTCCACTCTTGCACGAAAAGTTTCTCCTAAGATCCAGCTGGTACCTTCCCACCCTTAATTGAAACCCATGACTGAGAGTCCTCTCCTCTGCTGCCAACAGGAACAGCTCCCTGCCCTCCTCTAAGGGACGGCCCTTCAAATATTTCAAGAGAACCATCGTGTCCCCCCCCCCCAACCTCCTCTTCTCCTGACTGAACACTTCCAAGTCCCTCAAGCCTTTCCTCACAGGGCTTCCTGGTCTCCAGGGCCCCGATCGTCCTCGTCGCTCTCCTCTGCACCCGCTCCATTCTGTCCACATTGTTTTTGAAGTGAGGCCTCCAGAACTGCACACAAGACTCCAGGTGTGGCCTGACCAATGCACTGTACAGCGGGGCTATGATATCTTGTGATTTGGATATTACACCTCTGTCGATACACCCCCAGGACTGCATTAGCCTTTTTTGCTGCTGCGTCACACGGGCTGCTCATATTTAACTTACGGTCCACCCGTACCCCAAGATCTTCTTCACACAATACCCAGACAACAGGAGACTAGCCACGACCAACCCTGTTTAGCTTCTGAGATCTGATGCAAGAGTCTCCTCTTTTAATCAGGGAAAGACACTGCCATTAGTGGAACAGAGCTGTGGGATCCCACCCCACCAGCTATACACAGTGCCCCTACAATGGCCATCTAAGATCCACAGAAGGCATCTGTTGGAACCATTAAGAAGAAGAGTTGGATTTATATATCCCGCCCTTCATTCGGCATCTCAGAGTGGCTTACAATCTCCTTCCCTCCCCCTCCCCACAACAGACCACACCCTGTGAAGTAGGTGAGGCTGAGAGAGCTCTTTCCAGAACTGTCCTTGAGGGAACAGCTCTGATAGAACTATGGCTAGCCCAAGGTCATCCAGCAGCTGCAAGTGGAGGAGTGGGGAATCAAACCCGGTTCTCCCAGATTAGAGTCCGCGCACTTAGCCAGGACAACAAAGTGGCTCCGGGAAACTCGCGTAACAGTTATTTGGTTTAATCACGTAATCCTGGCAGGGGGCTGGTTTGACTTTTGAGTGAGAGCTCAATGGGACCTCCATGGATAGCAGCAGTCCTCCCCTGAACAACACAGGCTGCGAAGAAGAAGAGGAGGAAGAAGAAGAGGAAGAGGAAGAAGAGGAGGAAGAGGAAGAGGAAGAAGAAGAGGAGGAGGAAGAAGAGGAGGAAGAAGGGGAGGAGGAAGAGATTGGATTTATACCCTGCCCTTCACTTTGAGTTTCCGAGGGGCTTACAAACTCCTTTCCCTTCCCCTCCCCACAACAGACACCCTGTGAGGTGGGTGGGGCCGAGAGAGCTCTTGACAGAAACCGCTCTTTCTCAAGAACAGCTCTGAGAACTATGGCTTGCCCAAGGCCATCCAGCCAGGTGCAAGTGGAGGAGTGGGGAATCAAACCCGGTTCTCCCAGATTAGAGTCCGCGCACTTAACCACCACACCAGACTGGGAAAGGGAAGGGGAAGAGAGAGAGAGAGAAAGAGAGAGAGCGAGGCGGAAAGAAAGCAAATAAATGGGGAGGGAGGGAGAAAGAAAGCAACCTTCATTTTAAATGTCTTTTCCAACCCCTCCACTCCTTCACACCAGCTGGCTTGGCTTGGAGAAGGGATTTAAAGAGACATATGCCTTCTCCAAGCTGCTGGTGGTGGGGGCTTTGAGAAGTAGAAGAAGAGGAGGAGACTGGATTTATACCCCGCCTTTCACTACCCAAAGGTGTCTTCACAAACTCCTTTCCCTTCCCCTCCCCACAACAGACACCCTGTGAGGTGGGTGGGGCTGAGAGAGCTCTTGACAGAAACTGCTCTTTTTCAAAGGACAGCTGTGCCAGAACCATGGCTTGCCCAAGGTCATCCAGCCAGGTGCAAGTGGAGGAGTGGGGGAATCAAACCCGGTCCTCCCAGATTAGAGTCTGCACACTTAACCACTACACCAAGCTGGCTACACCAATAACAGGCAGGACAGCTTCCAGGAGCTGAGGAGGGAGGGCTGTGTGTGTCACTGGAGCAATTCCTGCCCCAAACAGGAAGTCAGTCTAGGCTGGACCCAGTGAGGCAATCAAGTGGATCTCAGAGTGGTTCAAACCAAGGACTGCGAATCGACTCTGTTAGCGAAGGTGGAAGGAGCCTTCCTCTGACGTGGGATGCTTGCGAAGAGCATCTTGCGTCAGGTGGAGGGGCTCTGTCTGCTGCAGACAAGCGCCTCTCCCGAAGGATCCAGCCCCCCCCCCCGGCTTCCCACCACGAGCCTTCCCCGTACCTGGCAGACGTAGGGCATCTCTCCTGGCTTGTGGGTGTCCTTCATGTGCTGCAGGAACATGGGCTCGCTCTCAAACGCCCACTCGCAGATTTTGCATTTTGCTGGAACAGAGAGGAAACACGTCATCTTCCTGGGAAGGGAGCGCCCCACAGAATTAGACCAGGGTAGGATCCTGGTTCGGAGGCTGCTGTCAGGAGAGGAACTGTGAGCCTACAGGAGGGCTTAGGGCCGGGTGTCAAACATGAGGCCCGGGGGCCGGGTCAGGCCCGCAGTGGAGCTGGCTCTCTCCTGCTTCCAGTTCTGCTGCTGCATCGTCGCTCGCTTCGCCAGACTCTGTTAATCGCTTGGCCATTTTCATGTCGATAAATCAAAAATAGGTTTGCCGCTTACAGAGCTAATGTTTTAAGCACGTTTTTAAGTAAAAAAAAACCCAACCCTTTGTGTTTCTGTCCTTTATAAAGTTTATATCTCCGCTACCGGGCATTACATTTTATGGCACACAGCAAGGTCTCATTTGTGTCAGATCCGGCCCTTGTAACAAATGAATTCGACACCCCTGGCTTAGGTCATCCTAGGAGGATCCTTGCCAGTGGCACACTGACATCGCTTCCTGCATGCACAGAAGCAACAGCACTGTGTCTGCAGCAATCCTGGGGACACTCTGGCATTTGGGCAAAACTCTATGGTTCAACCACAATGTTTTGTACAAATAGCGCACCAAAAAGTGATGTCGGTGCTTCACCGGCAATCCTGGGGACTCTCTGGCATTTGAGCAAAACTCTCAAAGGATTTGACTACAGAATTCTGCACAAATGCCAGAGCATCCCCAGCCATGTGCTGATGTCACTTCCTGTGAGCACCGGAAGTGACATCAGTGTGTCACGAGCAATGATGGGCACGATCTGGGATTTGAGCACAGTCCCGAGCGTCCCCCCCGGCAATCCCATGGTGTCACTTCTGGGCACACAGGAGAGTGATGTCAGCATACTGGGACGCTGCTAATGTCCTCCAGTTTTTGCACCATTTCCCTCCCACTGGCCAGCCGAAAGGGGCACCCACATGTGGCTATTAGCCACAAGATACAGATGGAACACTCTGGGGCAAGGGATGCTCTGTCTTTGTGGTGCTTGGGGGGGGCAAGACTGGGAGGGCTTCTGGAGTTCTGGTCCAGCTGGTGGACCTCCTGATGGCACCTGGGTTTTGGCTACCGTGTGACACAGAGTGTTGGACTGGATGGGCCGTTGGCCTGACCCAACATGGCTTCTTACATGGAGCAGAGGTCCATTAGTGGCTCTTAGCCACAAGGTATAGAGGTAACACTCTGTCTGGGGCAGTGATGCTCTGTCTTCGTGGTGCTTGGGGGGGGGGCAAGAGTGGGAGGGCTTCTAGTGTCCTGGCCCCACTGCTGGACCTCCTGATGGCCCCTGGTATTTTTGGCCACTGTGCGACACAGAGTGTTGGACAGGATGAGCCATTGGCCTGATCCAACAGTGGCTTCTCTTACGTTCTCATATGGAGCAGAGGTCCATCAGTAACTAGTAGCCACAAGATACAGATGGCTCTATCTGGGGCAAGTGATGCTCTGCCTTCTTGGTGTTTGGGGGGCAAGAGTGGGAGGGCTTCTGGTGTCCTGGCCCCACTGCTGGACCTCCTGGTGGCCCCTGGGCTTTGGCCACTGTGTGACACAGAGTGTTGGACTGCATGGGCCATTGGCATGACCCAACACTGGCTTCTCTTGTGTTCTTATGTCTGGGGCAGTGATGCTCTGTCTTCTTGGTGCTTGAAGGGGGCAAGAGTGGGAGGGCTTCTGTAGTTCTGGCCCCACTGGTAGACCTCCTGATGGCCCCTGGGTTTTGGCCACTGACACAGAGTGTTGGACTGGATGGGCCATTGGCCTGATCCAGCATTGGCTTCTTATGTTTGGGGCAGTGATTCTCTGTACTCTTGGTGCTTGGGGGGGCGGGAAGTGTGTGAGGGCCTCTCTGGGGTTCTGTCAGCGAGCTGCCATGGACTTCTGTGTGACCCTGCAGACTCCGGCTGGAGTCCCCCCCCCTCCCCGCTTCTGCTGCCAGGCTTCAGATTATATCTCCCTGTTGCTTTGACTGAGCTCGTTAGATGCATTCCTTTTCATGTCTGCTCGGTCTGCTTTGTAACTAGATAACACCAAGGTCGGGCTGGAGGTTTGACGGAGTGAGGAACTGCTTTAATTAGTAGGCATGAGAACTGTAGTATGTTTATGCTATGGACCGTTTCGTTCCCAGGGATGGCTGGGCGGCAAAGTCGCCCCATTGGATGTGGTCATCTTTGAGTTTGTTTATTACATTGTACCCCAGTAGTAAGTTTCATTCTTAACAATCCTATTGTTCCTGATCTACCATCGCTTTTCAATAAACGCTTCTTTGCTAAAGCAAACGTGGATTTATTCGACTGCCTGGGGTCTGGACAGGTTCTGACCCTGCCGGTGGACCTAGTGATGGCGGACCCCTTCGTTCAATACCCCCCCTTGCAGCACTTGTGGGTGCAGGAGAGGGCGGCGGCCAATGAGGCGACCACTCCGCCCTCCCTCCGCCCTGCCGCCCAACCACGGGGCGAGGCGGGACTTACTGGTCGACTCGTAAGGGCTGTGCACGTTCTCCAGGTGGCACTGCAGCTGGAAGGGAGTGTTGAACTGCCGGTAACAGTGCTGGCAGATGGTGTGGACGTCCACTTCCCCGTTCTGCTGATCCAGTTCGACGTGGTGCTTCATGTGGTTCATAAACCTGGGGAGGGGGGGGGAGAGAAAACAAAAATGCCAACGCT